CTTATGACAGAACAGCTAATCATGATGATCTGGTCTTCGGAAAAGATAATTTTATTTGCTTATGTCAGAAACAGCGAATCTCTTTAAAAAAATGGGCTGTTCCCACTAGATTGCATTGTTATAATTCGTAAAAGTTGTACCCGCCAACTGGCGACTGACACTGTTACATGGACTCGCCAACGCTGATTTTTACTCGCATTTGGCGCTTGGCGAGTGTTAATTTTAGGCCCTGTACGTACATCTTCACTTTGTTGTTTATGATGAGAGAATTCACTCAGCGAGCGCGCGCACTGAACAAAACTCTGGCGTTTCAGCGATGACTCATCTGAACGCCTCTGACTGGCCATTTCATTAATAAGCTCAACATACTCGTGTGTGATTGGTTATAATGCGCAACACTGTAAAAACGCGTAAAAAGAATCACGGTGCAACATTGAGCAGATCTAAATTTAATGCTGCAGTCAACACTTTTCATTTCATTTATCATTTTATTCGCAACAGCCGTAATGGATTTAGTTTAACTGTACAGCAGCCTTTTTGTCCATGTGTGTTGCCATAGCGCGGATATTATGTCATTGATGGCCGACAATGAACCGGGACGAGCCATTATTTAAAAATGGAATTTCTCTGGATTTACAAACCCTTGGGAACTTTTGGGATAACGTAAGAACACAACTGCATGAAATATATCACACTGTGCAAGTGGTTTTTGGATATTTTATTACAAAAATCGTACATATTGTGCCTTTAAGCAACACTTATTTTGATTTTAGAAAAGGGACTTTGAATGGTGGACCATGTTCCCGAGCTTCATTGTGTGTCATTACATGGGTTTCAATTCTCTCTCAAGCAAATATTAGTCAATTATTAATTCATTCATTTGTCCTTCCGCCTTTGCTACTGTACACAGGACAATAATGAAACTTGCTCGCACTAAGACCAATGAGGAAGAGAGAGGGAGGAACAAATCAAACCAACTACACGTACAAACACTTTTAGCTCAAACAAGCTGTCTGGTATTGAAAGGGCAACAAAGCGTTCCCACGAAAATGATCAGGAAGTTAAAATTGATAAAAAAATAAGAGATTCTGTAAAATGCACAAGGAGGGATTAGGAAAAGTAAACAGACCTGAGAACCTGAGACCAGAAGTAATCATTGAAATGTTCAGATTAGAGCTCACACGACAGCCTCAAGGCAGACAGAGTAGAAAGTACACTTGGTCTGCTGTGAAAGCAAATATATTATCAACCATATTGCACAAATTTTAATTGGTTTTTACTTGTATTTTTTTTTTTTTTTATATACTACCATTCAAAAGTTTGGGCACTGTAAGATTTTTCTTTTATTATTATTAATATTTTTATTCAGCAAAGATGCATTAAGTTGTGAAGTCACAATAAAGACATTTTTAATGTTATAAAAGATTTATATTCCAAATAAATGCTGTTCTTTAGAACTTTATTTTCTTTAAAGAATCCTGAAAAAAGTATCACCGTTTAAAAAAAAATAAAAAATTAAGCAGCACAACACTGTTGTTTTAAACACTGATGATAAGAAATGTTTCTTGAGCAGCAAATCAGCATATTAGAATGATTTCTGAAAAATCACGTGACACTGAAAACTAAAGTAATGATTCTGAAAATTCAGCTTTGCATCACAGGAATAAATTACATTTTAAAATGTATTAAAATAGAAACAGTTATTTGAAATTGTAATAATATTTCACAATATTACTGTAAGTTTATTGTACTTCTTATCAAATAAATGTAGCCTTGGTGAGCACAAGAGACCCCAAACCTTTAGACAATGGTTTACATATATATTTACAATATATCTGTATACAGCTGCTGAATTAAAATGTAAAGAGTAAATATTGTGGAAAATAATTCATTTACAAGTATATGATATATAAACGGTGCAATATCCATTTGTCAAAGCTGTTGGTATATTTTGCAACTGACACTAGGGCAGAACGGCAGAATATAAAAAGGATCAGGGTTTGGAAGTTCAATTCATTTCCAGGAATCAGGTCAAAACACTGATTCACTGGTCTGGGTGTTATTTTAAGCTATTCTGATACATAAATATGAAGATGTACATTGCGAGCGATGCCATAAACGAACGCCGTCTCTTCACTTTGACTTTGCTTTCTGATGCCAGTTTGAATTCTTGAGCGATACTGGAGACGCTCACTCCTTTGTTTTATAACTGCTGCTCAAAGATTTCGAAACATGATTATAGTCAAGCTCCTCAAATATACTGGCAGATTCGTATAACAGATGTCTGCAATGAAGGAAAACACACACCAGAGGAGTTTCTCCCACATTAGGGAAGTGAAGTAGTGTCAGAGAGGTGTTAGATGGAGTTTATTCAAGTCTCTGTAAGCCTGATAAGGCCGTACACCAAGGAAATGAACCTTGTGCAAACTCACACGTGATTCAGCAAAGTTACTTAGACAATTCTAAAGAAAAGTGATTCTGAATGAAAGCAATCAAGCAATATATCTCAAGGTGGAAAGAGAGGAACTGTGTGTCATTTGCTTTGGTGACAGAAATGACACACTTCATCTTTAAAGCTGTAAATGATCTTGTGCTTTGTAGCAAGAGGAGTAAAGGGAAGTCAGGTTGTGGTGGCTGAAGTATCTTAGTATACTTACGCATGTGCCTTCATCTCGATGTAGTTTTTAGGAATGAAACCGTCTTTGCCATTTAGTTCTGCCTTATACCAGTTCTGATCACATTCTTCATTTAATACCTGCCAATAAAAGAGAAGACTATTATTATCGATTAAACATGACTTATTATCCTGCTGTAATTGTACATTATAGAATTATACTATAATTTGCATACAGGATTATTCTGTTACAGATAACAGGATCCTGCTGAATTATCACAAGCACACGAGTCATTTTAATCAAGACCGCTATCAAAAAAGCTAAACATCAGACCAGCAATGGAGAGTTCAAACATCTGTGTGGAAGTGTAATGCAAGAGTAGTCAAGCTAACGCCCAGTACTAACCACCTGCATTCTGGTCATTTATCTTATTTTAGCATCACTACATGTGAAAATGGAAATAAAGTGTGGTTAGGTGTTGAAATTTGATTGGATGCTAAATGCTTATGTGGACTGAGGCTTTTTCAGTTTAGGTTTTAGAGAACCATCACTCTGATTAAAGGTGCAAAGTATTACATACTCACTTCCACAGATCAGAAACTCATGCAAAATGCATGAAAAACAGTTTAATCGTTGTCTATATTGCAGCTCTTGATTTAAACAACAAAATGTGAAAATTAAACGTTTTTTGTTAATGTCTATAAACACTGCTTTAGGAAAATATAAATTCTGAGAGAAAAAAAAAAATCCACCAAGAAAAATAAGTCCTCTAAATGCAAAAACGCTTAAAAGCTAAAAAAACACACACACAAAAAAACCCAGTAGGGCTGGGCGATATGGCAAAATAATAAAATCTCGATTTTTTTCAGAACGTTTGACCGTTTCTCAACTTGAAAGTGTAGTTAAAAAAAATTCTATTCCAAGTGCACCACACATGAAGTTGTCAACATGATGTAAATGTTATAAATAAATGACATGTGACATGTGGCCAAGTATGGTGACCCATACTTGGAATTAGTGCTCTGTATTTAACCCATCCAAAGTGCACACACACAGCAGTGAACACACACACACCGTGAACACGCACCCGGAGCAGTGTTCACTTGTTAAATATCTTTGCAAAAAAGTAGCTTGAACTACAATTACATCTTGTACAAACTTGTCTTAGGGTGTTTTCACACTTGGTCCTTTTCAGGGGTCTGAGCATGGTTCGCGTGATTTTTGGCCCATGTGTGAACACCCCAAACGATCTCAGACCCCTCAGAAGCAAACTGAACCGAGACCATCTCGGGAGGTGGTCTGAGTACGGTTCGCTGTCGGCTAAAGGTACAGTTCGCTAAAAACGTGCATTGTGAACACAAATCGGCCCGGGCTCAATTGATTTTTCCATTTGCGAATTCCAATGTAGTTTGGCCATCAGATGTTTCCGTACAAATCAGCTGTTCATAGTGGCTGCTTCTTCTGGCAGATCTCTACAAATTGTTCGCTCACAACGTACACTTGTTTATTTTAATTTCAACCACTTCTAAACTGTGTAAGAGAGACGCGGCTGTGCGCCTTGCCAGTTTAAACTTTTTGATATAGGCTACGAGCGCGCACATCCCAGCGGGGGCTAAACTACACTCTTTAGCGTTTATTGTTTCAACTGTCAAAAACACCCATGGTTCACATAAACACAGTTGGTTTTGTCTCAATCAAATGTAAGAATCTATTATTCATATGATTTATAATATGCATTAAAAAAATTTTTTCATTTGATTAGTATCTTATTTAAATGCTGCATTTAAGGATACCTGTACTGTACCTGAAAAATTTAAAGCAGTTTATTATATTTTATTTTATTTGTCCAATTTAAATTTTTTTTTATCTCAATGTCAAAATATTAAACCAGCCATTAAACCATTAATATAATAATTGATACATTTGATTTTTGACTCTTTTCTTAAAAATGTTTTGAAATTTGAAAGGCTGAAATTTGATTTCATTTTTTTAAAATATTTTTTTTGTGAAAACCTGTATCTGAACTGTAAATCATGCTTTTTACAATCATTTTAAAACATTGCCCCACCCCACTCATATGGCATTAATTTTATCTGTGCAAGTCTTAAAAACAGTCATAAAAAGTCTTAAATTTGAGCTTATAAATCCTGCAGAAACCCTGTGTGCTATAAAATAAACATGATGACATAGACAAGGAAAACAATTCAAAATAGATATTACAAAGGTGTACGAAACTTGTATTTTTGTGCAAAAGATAAAAATATTCCAGTTTTGGAGGCCATAATGTCAGCCATCAAACACTGAACTGGACTAGATCCAAAAAGCAACAGTCTGAACACAAAGAGGTCTGAGACACCATTACTGCTTAAGTGGACCAAAAAAGGATCCGAGTCCTCTTTCAGGAACTGCGATAGTGTGAACGCAAAGAAAACTGGGTCCTTTTTCACTTGGTCCACCTCTTGGTCCACTTAAAGGGGTCTGGGTTCTGGGTCTGGGCTTATACATATTTTTTAAAAGCATTTTCCTTGTATTATTTCTGAACATATAATATCAAAAGTCAAGGTAATTCAAATTCAAAATGACTGAAGGTATAACACCAGTAGACTATTATTAACTAGGCTATAAATGTTCTGTAAAAACAATGAACCGCAGCTTTCAGCCTGATGTCACCATGATGCAAACATAAAATGTCAGACATACAGTAGTAGTTCTTTACAGGTTTTCATTCGATTGCGCTGCTTTTCTTTATTTTTTTCTATGTAAATATAAATATGTTTGACTGTTGTGCTCGCGTCTCTTGCAGCGTCTCATGCATGAAACGGCATTCTAAAAACGTGGCGCTCAAGTTAAAAGAAGTCCAACTCAACCCCCATCTTCCTGCATTTTTTCCTATTCCACTGGAATAGCATCTTAGTCAACACAAAAGCGCATTCTGTGTGAATGGCACCTAATGATATATTCTACTTATGGTCCTTCACAGAGCTCGTCACACGTGAGTGGTTAAGCACGACGTGCGCCGACATGCGGTTGGATCATTCTTTTCTCTTTACTGTTGTTAACATTGGCAATTTGTCAAAGTGTCTAATCCTAACGTTTGGTAATATTTCTATTCAAAATAGTGATTCCTCGATTTATAAAAAATAAAATCGTGGCAAAACACTAAATTCGAATTAATCGATAAAATCTGAAAAATCGGCCAGCACTAAAACGCAGTGCTCTTAAAAGGGTTAAATCTCTGTAATCGAATACTTTCCCATTAAGTTAACTGTAGATGAAAGCAATAGTAAACAAAAATCTAAAAATAGAAAGCAGGGCTGTACAGTGCGACATATATGTCGCACGTGCTAAGAAAAAACTGGTCTGTGCGATGAATAAATTTATCACTGTAGCACGCGTGCGATAGGCTACTGTTTTGCATGTTCATAACACAGCCGCTTAATAATGTGAAGTGATTTCTTTGTGCTTGTTTGTGTGTGTGAGATTGATTATACTTGGTAGTTAGGGGTGTGCGATATGACGATTTTTGATCGTGGATGATTAAAATGTCTCCACGGTCTGCTTTTGAAGAAATAGTATCGTGCTCAGCTGCAGTTCTGGTGCCTCCGTTTCAATATACTGTACAATGCAACATACATTCACTTCAAATGTTAACTCAGAGGTAGAGTTATACTCACGGGACACTGCACTTATTCACAATCACAAAAGTGCATTATTTGCATCTGCTTTAAAGCCTTGCCGTTTAAACATTTAATTCACGTTCTGTTCTGACATGCGCTTTTTCGGAGCGCGTACACAGAGTGCACAGGAGCCTGTCAAACAGCGCCTGATTACTGTTGTCTTTCGAGTCAGATTGATTTCGCGTCTAATACGGTCAAAAACACACAAGGTTTACATATAAACACAGTTAGTTATGTCTGAAATGAAAGTAAACCATTGAGAGAGAAACAGATGCGTGCAGCTCTTAAAGCACTAAATATGGTTCAACAGAAGAAAGAAACTAATTTAGGTTTAAAACAACTCGTGAGTAAGTAAATGATGGCATAAAAATAAAACACTATGACAGAATTGACAGACAGATGGACAGAATTTTCATTTTTGGGTGAACTATTCTTTTAATGTTAATAAAAAAAACAAAACAGAGAAAAATCACTCACTGCTCATGACTGATGCACTTTAATACAGTTGCTTTAAAAATGTATAATTGATGTATATAGTGTTTTATTTTCTTAAAACTCAATTTCTTGAATGTTAAGCTACTGCTAAATACTGTACCTGAAAAATAAAGCACTAATTTTTATTTGTATATTATGTGTATTTGTAATGTATACCTTTGTTCTTATTTTCTAATAACAATGATAAAATAACGACAAAGATTTTTATCTTCGCCCACTTTGGCCTAAATGTCTACCATTCTTTTTTATTTTATATTTTGTTACCTTAAAAGGCTTTTTTTACAATAGGGAAATTAGTAGTAAATAGTAAAACCAACATGACAAAGAATTGTGATGAAATCGTGATATTCCTGAAAAGAAATCGTGATATTATATTTTTGCCATATTGCCCACCCCTAACTTGTGCTACAACTGTTTGGCCTGCGCTACAAAATTTTCAACTTCTGTAGCACCAGTGCTATGTGCAAAAAAAGTTAACGTACAGCTCTGAGAAGAATAAAGTTCCAATATGGCTGATAAATATCCAATATGGATAGACAGACTGTCAGGGCTGTCAATCGATTAAAATTTTTAATCTAATTAATCACATCCTTTTTCTGTAGAAAATATCTAAAAACCAAAAATATTGGCTGACATACATCCAATATGGAAAGATACTGATTTGTAGCATTTGGACCAATCAGACATACAATTATTCATTATATTTAATGAATAATCCAGCAAACCCCCTCACCCAAAAAAGCAAACTATGTGTTACCATGGCAAGCAGTGACAAATGGCAGGTATCATACATTTAACCAAACGAAACGAGGTTTAGGATAAGCTGTAGACGCCGTTGTAAAATGGGGTTTCACTCAGGTGGTTAACTGACTCATTTTCCATAGCTGCATTCTCTGGTTTCTCTTAACGGTTTCATTCATCCACTTTACCTCCCCTGTGTATGTATGCGTGAGAGTGTGTGTGTATGG